ATATATATATATATATATATATATATATACACACACACTCAATGGGTCAAGCATAAAATCAGTAATTCTCGCCCAAAAGTTCATATCATCCTCAATGAATTGAAAAGATAATTCGAATTATTTAATCCTGAATCAGAGATCTCACGATTACTTTAAATTATTTAAAATTTAAATTTTCCAAATCGATCTTATAATTTTTTTTTTTATTTTATCCCTGCCTTATCTGAATATGTAGGAAGCGGTATACCTCATAGTAGACTCACCTATACCGATCCAAATTAATTGAGCCAGTACTATTAAATATCGAATAATTAAACTGAAGTAACTTCCATGTCAACTCTTACTTCTATTTATTTATATACATAAATGTAATAAAGAAAAGCCACATGATTGTTTTCTAATTTTAAATCAGAAAATACTAATTTAGGAGAGAAGGCAACCAATTAATTTTTTTAAACCAAATATAAAATAAGTAATAATTAGCAAAAAAAGACAAGAGTGGTTTAAAATAAAGTTAAGGAGATCTTGGAATTGTTGTCCAAGTGGAAGGTAAACGCGTAGAAATTGACGTGCATAACATGCAAAAAAAAAAATTAAAAAATTAAAGTAGGTGAGATTTGGACTCTTATTTTTATAAACAAAAAAACAAAAGGGAAGCTACTGACTCATATTTAACGACTTTTCAATTTTATTTTACGTTTGATATTCGTATTAAAGACTGATTAACTCATTTCACATTATGCAGATTATAATCATGAAAAAAAATACTCTCTATCAATAATATTCTTATAATCAAGTTTTTAACTCAAAATTCTGACTAAAAAAATACAATATCATCTATTATATCATATTCTTTGACGATAATATTTAACCAGTTATAAAATAACAATATTTTTTCCTTTAAGAAAAATATCCAAAAAGGTACATTGCAATTGTATAGCTCAGCCACTTGACTATATAACGCGGGATTCCCTTGCTTTGTTATATATGTCTTTTACTTTTTATTTTATTTGAATCTATAATTGTGATGATTGAATTTGAATCACTTAACATGTATATTTTTATATATAAAAACTAGTTATCGATAATGAGCCTAGTAATATTAACTTTATGTTTATAATTAATTTAAGTCGTAAAAACAATTTACAGTTAGTTATAAAATGTAATAATACTTCATCAAAATAATGGGAAAGCTTGATCAATCAATAATTGTTTCTTAAAAGACTCTTTTTTGTTTATTGGTCAAATAAAAGCGAGTTTTAACCAAAAAAAAATAAAATTAAAAGCATTTCTCAATATAAATTAAATTCAAAAGTTTTATCAAATAGGTTATTAGACAGAAATATTTTAATGAATAATGTCATAGTTCCATCATTTTAAAATAAATAATGAGATATATTGAATTTATCATTTAACTTTTATTAATTGATATGATTTCAAATATATTTACTTACGATATTTTTAAAAAAAATATTAACTCAATATTAATAACCGAAATAATAAATAAAATTAAAGATTATTTAACAAGTAAATTGGACCTGAGGAGCAATATATAAGTAATTTCAACTTGTGTCACATAGTACAATATAAGGGCCGCCATGGTACTTTTTATCCACCAACTTTGAAGGTGTGTGGTTGGTATATAGGAAATAAGTTAGAATACACGTCCGTTCGGTATTATTTGTTATAATTTTTATTTTTAAAGTTAAATAATAAAAAATTTAACTAATATTTTAAGATGTATTTCTTTATTATATTAATATGCAAAAAATTACAATCGATAATATTTTTCATACAATTTTAAAATAACTAATCTTTTTAAAAAAAATTAATATGATCTAATTTATCTATAAAAATTAGTCAAATTAACTTTTGAAAAATATAACATGATAAACCATAGAAAAAGTTAACTAGTTCGGTGAATTTAGAGTTGTGGTTCAAAACATGTTAGTATTAAAAAGAATAGAATTATATTTAATTTTTTTATGCTATAATAGTTATGATTGTTTTGTGCAGTTTCATTTTATATAATGAATTATAAACGTTTAATTTATGAAGAACAAATTCTTATTTTTCACCATACCTACCCTTTCACATTACAATAAAATAACTTTCAAAGGTAATAAATAGATACATGTATCAAGAGTGTTAAATTTTTTATCAATATCAGTTAAGTGTCATATACAAAAGAATTTTAGTTACTGTTAGAAATATATATTTAACGATAATTATTAATTAATTACACTAAAATTCATTTTTAATATAATATCACTTTATCAATAACGAATATAACACAATAGATAAAAATATTTTTTTAAAACTTAGAGTTTATAAATTTGATCCTTTAAAAAATTTAGATAGGAAAGCTTGCCCACAAAATAAAGTTTTATGCGATAGTAATACGAAGACAATAAGATAAAAGAGTCATTCACCTTTTACTTTTTTGAAAATTTCAAATTCAATCACATCAACATCAAAGTTTGAGACTATTTTAATTAAATCAAATAGTATTGAGACTTTAAAGAGTTAGTTATTGCTTTAAACGTAATTTTCTACCTCCACGTAGGATCATTTTGACTGAAAAATCATCTTCGATTGAAAATATTTAATGCCGTATATCAATTGTACTACGTTTCTATGGTTAATACCATATAATATTATTGTTCATGCGTTAAAATTTCAAACTTAATTAGGTACAACGTAATTTCAAAGGTTTACTCTAACGACATAATCAAATACTTATAATTTTATTAAAAGAAAATTAGAATAGGTCGGTTTCACTTATATTGTTGAAATTTACATCGTCAAAAAAAGAAGATTATTTTTTTTGCTTTTTTACATAAAGTAAGAAAATAAATTTTAAGCTTTACTTAATTTTAAATCATAGCTTAAGATATAAAGATTGTTCAAACAGTATTAAGAGACCGTCCATTTCGTAAAGGGTGGATATATTTAGGACTTTTTACTTCAATTATTTAATATTGAATTTCAATATTAAAATAAAAATTGAAATGAATCATTTTAGGACTAACTCATCCTTCAAAATTAGCTTTAGATATAGAAAAATTCCAAGACAAATAAATCATCTATTGATAAAATTAAATGTGAGACTCTTCAAAAGAATCGAAATATGAGCACATTAAAATTTCCTAAATTAAATGAACTTTTTTCTTTTCACAAAATAAGAAAGTTCAATACATAAGGAGAAAGAAAAGAATGCACAAAGGAACCCAAATTTACCATGTTTTTATAAGAATGAAAATATTTTTTTTATATAGAAAACATGTTTTAAAAAATAAATACATTCATAACTATATAGAACAAAAATATTATTTTGATTTTTTTGAAATATTTGGCTAATTAAATATGAAAAAAAAATTATTGTGTGATAGATTCCCACAATGTATACTTGTAGTATTTATATTTTATAATATAAGTATATATTAATGATATGATTATCTTTACTTATTTTATTGGTAAGAAAATGTATACATGTGTAATAACTAAAGTTTCACATGCTTTCTACTTTTCTTCTAGAATTATGATTATTTTGATTATTTTATTTATATTCTTTGGTGACTAAGATTACGAAACTATGGAAAAAGTCCTCAAACCACGGCTAGAGTCATATCATAATATTGGTCCCATTATTATCTTACCTACAATTATTATTTCTCAATTTCTACATGATATATATATATATATATATATATATATATATATATATATATATATATATATATATATATATATATATATATATATATA